CATGGTTTGTGATGATCTATTTGTACTACTGCCGGTCTAATGTTCAACTGGAGTTTGAAGTTTCAAAATGTGCAATTATGTATTCATGTTCAAGTAATCTTTTTTAGGGCACTAGTTTTACATCAAAAAACTTCTCTCTCCTATTCTATAATCATTTTTTGGGCATGAAGTTTTTCATTTGCTGGAGATGCTTTTTGGTTCATTAACATGAAAAGCATATTTTTCACAGTGATGGTAGAGTTCCTAGTGCATTGGAACAGAAGCCTTACTGCACAAGTGGACAAAGATGGGAGCACGCCGCTTCACTTTGCATCATCGGTGTACTTCCGGACTGGCTCGGATCTGCGTTTTATGTTCCTCCGCACTCTCCCTTGGTGTCGTTTTGTATGGATTCCCTGGGGAAAAAAGATACACGATCTAGTATTCAATGCGAACCCCGCCGCATTGTACCAAGCTGACAAGGACGGATATTTTCCCATACATGTGGCTGCCTCTGTAGGTCTCAAAGATGTCGTGCAATTCTTCTTTAATGATTACCCAGATAGTGCCGGATTGTGTGACGCTAAAGGAAGGACGTTCCTTCATGTTGCCGTCGACAAGGAAGAATTTGACATTGTCTCGTATGTATGTCGAACTCCATCTTTAGCTTGGATTCTGAATATGCAAGACAATGATGGGAACACGGCATTGCACTTAGCTATCGAGGCTCGGAATTTCAAGATTTTTTGTGCTCTATTTGGGTCTCGACGGGTATGTCTGAATCGGATAAATAACCAAGGGGAAACTCTCCGTGATCTAGCCAAAAGTAAGGTTCCACACGGAATAAGTTATATAGAGGTAATACATTCTCTGTTTTACTTTCAAGTTCACCCCTTGAGAAAAACAAATTATGCATGCCAAATTTCTCCATTTGCTACTCATGCATTCCTATCCGCTTTTATTTCAGAACCCTGAGTGCAAAATACACGAGGTATTATGGCGTGCTGAAACGAGCACGGTGCCCTTCGAGAGGATAAGCTTCATGAAAGATACATGAGGCCTGTAAACCCAGGAGACGAGGACAAAGAATCACACATGCTGGGAAATTCAGCACAAATTGGTGCAGTCCTAATCGCAACTGTGGCGTTCACTGCAACTTTTGCCCTGCCTGGAGGTTACAAAGCAGATGACCATATAAATGGAGGTACGCCAACACGTGCTGGGAGTTATGCTTTTGACGCGTTCATGATGGCCAACACGTTAGCTTTCATCTGCTCCATAGTAGCTACCATTGGCTTTGTGTCTGCTGGAATTCCCATGGTTAACCTGAAAACTCGCCGAGTCAACTCTGCAGTGGCTGTGCTTTTAATGTCGAGCTCACTCACATCCATGTCTACTGCTTTTGCGCTTGCTGTGTATATCGTGCTAGCTCCAGTCGCCCGTAGTACGGCTGTTGCGGTATGTGCTATTACTCCTGCCGTGTTGCTAAGTGTAAATAGGGATTGTATTTTCCAATGTGTTATTCTAGCACGACCATTATGGACTAGGATAGGGCTATTCCCAGGAACCAAAGTGTTACTAAAGATGCACATGCAGATAGTGGTCATGGCACTTTGGCCCATCATAGTTACCTTTGGTTGGGCTGCATTGGCAAGGATCCACCGCCACAGCTAAATCCAGAACTGGTGTTATTCTGCAGGCTTTTAAACTTCCTTTCTGTAAGACTGGTTGAATAAATGTAAGACATATTCATTGTCATGATATTTTCCTATATATATGGCTCCATATGTTCTGCACCTGTGCTGGTCTTGTAACACTGACTGAATATATGTAAGACATAATTATTGTCAAAAAATGCAGAGATAGTGTACATTATTTCTGTTGTTTCCCCCCAAACAGAGACATGAGCTTTGCTGCCTCTCAGTTTCAGGTGTGGATCATTGCCATACGATCAAGAAGAGAAAATTCAACGGCCTAAGTTTGAATTTAATTTTTGCATTTTCATCTGACCAATAATTATGCAATGACTAATATCTACTGGTACTTTATATATCCTATATATAAACACACCGGGTCTCTGACAACTCAATCCAACCTAAAATTATGCATCTGGCCTGTACCTAAAAGATTTTTAGTGAGATTAGCTATTTTGCGAATGGACTTGTGCAATGTTTTGGTTTACCATCTGACATTTCAAGTCAATGCTCGATTCAGATTTAGTGTTTTGCCTTTCATTCATTCCTATACAATTTTTTATGGGTCCCGATAACTGCCACACGTGTGGCATGGATAGGAACCCGCCCGCACGCCTCGTGTGGCATGGACAGGAACCCGTCCGCACGACCGCGTCCGGGCGCGCAATTGCACAGCCCGCACGTCCGGTGTGTGGCAACCCCGCCCGCACGACCCCGTCCGGGCCAGACGACCCCGCTGCCCGCACGACCCAGCTGTTCCCGGCCTCCGATCGATCCCCACTCTCGACTGCCGACATCGTCCCCCACCTCCCGAACCCCTACCTCCGTCGCCGGCCTTCTTTGGGGCACTCCCACCGCAAACCACACCCCAACCCTCCCCCACCCCAGCCCCCCACTCCAACCCCGCCCTCCAAAGACGATCAGCTAAAAGTAGGTGAAATCTCTCGATCTCATACTGCTTCTCATCCTTCTTCTGGGCAGGAAATTGCAAATTTACAGATGAAGGTGGCGACTGGATCCATGCTATAGGGGTAAAACACTACATGGTTCGGTGTATGTTCGCATTTGCCAAGCAGAATACACCAGATCTGCCATGTACTACGTTTGAGATTAACTTAAGTTCCTAGTTTGATTGACGCAAGTAGTTGGTTATGAAATGGATGAGTAGGAATCCCTAAAAAAGGTGAGGAATGACAAATTTGGAATAAAGGGGGTGGGAAAAATTAATTGCCACTTGTGTATAACGTCAGTTGCCACCTTTCGTTGTCAGTAACTGCCACGAAGTTGACCTGTTGCTTGCCATCCTATTGTAGTGGTTGTTGCAATCTAATCGAACGGATAGCTAGCACACAAAATTTTAGAAAAAAGAGTGTCCATGTGCATGTCCTACTTGCCGCGATGTGTTGGTTGCCTACGCATGAAAATGTGATAACACTGACGTGTTATCTTCTATGTGCAAGCAGCTGAAGAATACAATTCTTGTGGATTGTTGATGCGTTCTTGTTCATGCAGTGATTGAGAACACATTGAAAGAAGCGAGACGCGGAAAGAATGAATCACGAAGATGGCGCTGATACTTGGGGTTCTCAAAGGCCAGAAACGCCCCCTTGGGATGCATCAGAGTACAGTCAACTCATTTCTGCAGGGCCGTTGCTGCCACTACTAGAACAGTATGCAGGCATTGGTATGATGTGTGATAACAAAAGAAAAGAACAGTTGCCATGTTCGCAACGATGAAGATGACATTCTACTTATGTCGTACACTGTCAATTTTTTCGCAGGTTCTTATGACCAAAACACATTCAGGGGGCCTCCGTGGCAAGTTCAGTCACATGGCGTTAACACTGACAAATGTACGGGTAGCCAACTTCAACTAGCTAATATGGCTAATCAAGGTAACGCATACGAAAAAGAACACATACTGGTCTGGACATGAAAAATAAACTTGCAAAAGTTGGCAAAAAGACTCACGAGTTATGACGGGTGAAAATGCAGTGCCTTCATGCAGCTGGTGGCATCAGGCAGCACCCATGTACCTATCATCGACGTCATACACAGGTGAGTCCATAAAAAAGTGAAGTTGCGGATGGTGAATTAGCAGAAGGAGCATAGTTGACAACTGCAGTTGCCATGACTGGACAACTGCAAATGCCATGGATAAATAACTGCAATTGTCATCCCTGGACAACTGTTGTTGCCATCCCTGGACAACTGCAGTTGCCATGGAGGAACAACTGCAGTTGCCATGCCAGGGCAACTGCAGTTGTCATGGAGGAACAACTGCACTTGCCATGCCAGGACAACTATAGTTGCCATACTAGGGCAACTGCAGTTGCCATGCTAGGACAACTGCAGTTGCCATACCAGGGCAACTGCAGTTGCCATGCTAGCACAAACTGCATTTGCCATGTATTGACCAACTACTATGATGCTTATAGGTTATTACGGTGGTGGTAACCCGGCAAACGTCTCGTGGCAAGCTTCACAGATTGCTAATAGAGCACGTCAATTTGGTGTCACAGACCACACAAGATGGGCACATGCAGCACAACAAGGTAAGGAAAAAATTGAACCACAAAAAAGCACTACATTTGTTTTTGTGGCAACAAATAGCACGTAACGAAAAAGAAGATTTGTAGCAGTGATGGTGGACAAAACCAAGCATAAAACGCTAACAAGTGGTTGTGTGTAATGAGTCATGTATTGTCTTCGAAAATTTGCCAACTGCTAAAAGCATGTGTGCAGCACTAATGGTTGATCGCATTTGCCTAGTGAGATCTGCTACCTCTTGAGCACTGCGTTGGATTTCCCGAAGAGGAGAGGATGATGCAGCAAAGTAGCGTAAGTATTTCCCTCAGTTTTTGAGAACCACGGTATCAATCCAGTAGGGGACCACGCACAAGTCCCTCGTACCTACACAAAACGATAGCAACTCGCAACCAACACGATTAGGGGTTGTCAATCCCTTCACGGTCACTTATGAAAGTGAGATCTGATAGAGATGATAAATAATATTTTTGGTATTTTTGATAGATAGATGCAAAGTGAAAAGTAAAAGGAAAAGTAAAAACAAAGCAAGTAAATAAAGCGATAAAGATTGATATGATGAGAATAGATCCGGGGGCCATAGGTTTCACTAGTGGCTTCTCTCAAGAGCATAAGTATTCTACGGTGGGTGAATAAATTACTGTTGAGCAATTGACATAATTGAGCATAGTTATGAGTATATGTAGGCAATGATCATGTATATAGGCATCACGTCCAAGACAAGTAGATCGAAACGATTCTGCATCTACTACTATTACTCCACTTATTGACCGCTATCCAGCATGCATCTAGAGTATTAAGTAAAAAGTAGAGTAATGCCTTAATCAAGATGACATGATGTAGAGGGATAAATTCATGCAATATGATAAAAAAACCATCTTGTTATCCTCAATGGCAACAATACAATACGTGCTTTGCTGCCCCTTCTGTCACTTGGAAAGGACACCGCAAGATTGAACCCAAAGCAAAGCACTTCTCCCATTGCAAGAACTACCAATGTAGTTGGCCAAACCAAAAAGGATAATTCGAAGAGACTTGCAAAGATAACTCAATCATACATAAAAGAATTCAGAGAAGAATCAAATATTTTCCATAGATAATACTAGATAATAAACCCACAATCCATCAGTCTCAACAAACACACCGCAAAAAGAAGATTACATCGAATAGATCTCCACAAGAGAGGGGGAGAACATTGTATTGAGATCCAAAAAGAGAGAATAAGCCATCTAGCTACTAGCTATGGACCTGAAGGTCTGAAGTAAACTACTCACACTTCATCGGAGGGGCTATGGTGTTGATGTAGAAGCCCTCCGTGGTGGATGCCCCCTCCGGTGGAGCTCCAGAACAGGCCCCAAGATGGGATCTCGTGGATACAGAAGGTTGCGGCGGTGGAATTAGGTTTTTGGCTCCTGTTCTGATCGTTTGGGGATACGTAGGTATATATAGGAGGAAGGAGTACGTCGGTGGAGCGTCAGGGGGCCCACGAGGTAGGGGGCGCGCCCTCCACCCTCGTGACCGCCTCTGGCACTTCTTGGAGTAGGGTCCAAGTCTCCTGGATCACGTTCGGTGAGAAAATCATGTTCTCGAAGGTTTCATTCCGTTTGGACTCCGTTTGATATTCCGTTTCTTTGAAACACTGAAATAGGCAAAAACATCAATTCTGGGCTGGGCCTCCGATTAATAAGTTAGTCCCAAAAATAATATAATAGTGGAAAATAAAGCCCAATATATTCCAAAATAGTAGATAAAGTAGCATGGAGCAATCAAAAATTATAGATACGTTGGAGACGTATCAGGCATCCCCAAGCTTAAT